GGAGACGGGGAGCAGCTTTTCTCGCCCCGGAGGAGACGGGCGGCGGGACCAGGCGCCCCGCCGCTCCAGTCCTCCGGGGCGAGAAAATCCCTGTTCGTATCTGCGGATCCGATGTAAGTCGGATCCGCGTAACTTGGGGACTGCCTGTATTCAGTGCAAGTCATGCTCATTGAAGACAGGAGAAAGGTAAAAATATATAAAAACTGAAGTATATTGTTGCCCCTTTGATCCAAGTGGTTAGCCAACATTCAGGACCACACAGGAAAAGGAGAAATTGATTATCTGAATCAGGCATGTTTTTTAATGTGTAGCCCAAGGTCCAGTGTGCTTCAACAGCAGCCCTAGGTACTACAAGCTGTGGAGTACAAACTGTGGCAAGTTGGCAGAACTTACTGGTTCCTGCCAGGATGTATCCTGTGCCCCCAGCAAGGTCTCAGCAGGGACTGAGCTCAAAGCAGCACGCAGGCTGTATGCTGAGAGGAGGGGCTGCTGAACTGTGATCCTATTTTATGTTTTTTACAGAATAAAGCCTGTTCCTGGTGGTTTGTCTGAATGGGTCTGGTCTGAGGTGCACACACACTAATACACAATACAGAACACACCAAAGTGCCTCAGGCCTAGCCTCCCACAGTTGTGTAAGAAGTCACAAGGCATCTTCCCCTATGCTGAATAATCTCACACTGGGCTAGTGAACAGGAGGGGGTTACAAATACAATCCTGTTTATTTACAAAGAATCTTCACAAAGACAGTGAAGGAACAAACATCAGACAGGTTCCTTCCTCAAAAATACCTACGCCTGCCTCGCTAGGATTTTCTGCTCCAGAAATGTTGCCTCTTTGCTTCTGTTCAGGGTCATGTTCTCTACTGCTTTTCCTGCCTTCTGCTGGCTAGCTCCTGCTTTTCTGCGTCTAAACAGGCCTACTGACAGGAGGGGGCAAAGGGGGCAATTGCCTCAATGCCCAGTGATTCTCAAGGGCCCAGGGCTCCTGGCTACTGATGCTATTGCAGTAGTAGTGGCAGACGGAGCCCAGCTCCCTGTAAAATCACTGCCAAAGCACTACATGGTGCTCTCCAGAAAGAGGAGTGATGGAGAAGGAGTCCTGGGCCTCGGGGCAGTGCTGGGGGCTAGCTGCCTCAATCCCGCCCCTTCCAACCAAGGCCCTGCCCCTTCCAGGAGTGCAGAGCTGTCCTCTCTGCTATTGCCCAGGGACCCAGAAATCCTGTCAGCTCTCCCACTTCTAACATATATACTGCCACGACCAATATCATAGTCCCTGTTATTTGCAAACAGTCCCAGGGAAACACCTAGTGACCTGGGTTAGTTTCTGGAGCAAGTTTTGCCACGTGGCCCATCGCCCTGGGTGGTGCCTTCTAGCTTTTTTTCCAGCTATCTCAAAACATAAATGGGATTACTTGCTGCCTCCATTTAGCCTGAGCGAAGGGTGCATAACATACTCACTGGCTTTAATCTGGTCCTTGATTGTTTTTACATCAAAGGCTCACTTGATGGCAGCCATTAACAAGTCACAGCATAACAACACACACCCCCAGCATTGAAAATGACACAGAATGTTGATGAGATCTGGAGAAAGTTCAAACAGCAATTTTGAAATATGCATGAGAGCAATGGTGTTTAGTAAAACAGAAGATGCGCACATACA